GTCATGGAGAAGGATGTCTTCAGGGAGAGTGTGCTGCTCTTTGGCAGGTAAACTCCAGAGCCCGCCCTGTGGGGAGGTGTCCCGGGGTCATCTGCCTCACTGCCTCAGGCCCTGTGGGATTTCCCCCCTCCCGCCACCAGCTGGCGTTCCTCATGTTCTGAACCCAGGTATGAGGCATTGTGCTGCCCCCAGGTCCGGCAGTCTGGACCTGGCAGAGTTGAACTGCTGATATTGGTAAAAAAGTATTTGACAAGAAGGTCCGTATTCTCCCTCTGGAACGAGCGGTGTGCATCCAAGTCGTGGGTTGCTATCCTCCTGTCCACAGCCAATCTGAGGATTCCAGAAGGTAGGTGAACCCTTTAAAACACCATAGTCTTCTCTTACATCCTTCAAAGACAATTCCTTTTCCCAGCTTTCTTTTCATTTTGAAGAGATGGCAATACTAATTGAAGGCATGATGATTCTGTAGGAAATTGACCTACACGACTGATGGACATTATTTCATCCATCGGTATCCCTAAAGCACATTTCATTGGAAATATAAGCCACGGATGCGTGTCGTAAATTCACAACAGATGTGCAGCTCCCTGTAAGTTGCATTCTGATCTTGTCACATATGTGTCATCAGATATTGTTAGTGACTTTTCAGATAACCTCTAAACATCAAGATGGTCACGTTAGAGAATCTGGTATCGATGGAATTGCACAGATTCTAAATTAGGCATGATTTTTCATTTTTAATGTTTCTTTTTCCTTTTATGAGAGAGCCCGAGCTGGGGATGGGGGAGAGAGTGGGAGATACTGAATCTGAGGCAGGCTCCAGGCTCTGAGCTGTCAGGATAGAGCCTGACACGGGGCTCAAACTGATGGGCTGCAAGATCATGACCTAGTGGAAGTCGGATGCTTAACCAAGTAAGCTGCCCAAGCGCCCAGGAATGATAGCTTATTGGCAAAGAGAGAGAAATTAAAGATAGCATAAAGGATGTCGACTTTTAATTGAAATATTCTTCACACATTTGTTGTATTCGTTTTAGGCATACATTGTAGTCCTTCCATAAGTCTGTAAATTATGTTGTTCTTAAGCACAAGTGTAGCTATCCTGTGAAAGCATGCAACAGTATTATTACAGGACTCTCTTCCATTGGGTGTCCCTTGTATCCCTAGGCTCATTCATTCCATAGCTGGAAGCTGGTCTCTCTCTTTCAAAGGTGTCCATTCTTTTCTAACCTAAACACTTAGGTGGTCAACACCATTACCTCTTGTTCAGCATGTGTAATTTGGCGGTCTATTTTTCTGGGAACATTGCTTAGAGCATTACAAATGATGTCATTACGTGAATAAATTCGGTTTCATTCTTCCCTCACAAGAAAGGAGAAGGAAAAGATTTCTTTGTGTCCCAGGCCCTGTCACTAAGACCCTTCCCAATGTGGAGAACAGGCTGGGTTGCCCAGAGCACCTTCGGTCCCTCAGCTGAGCCCCCGGGGCCTTCAACATTGCAGGAATTCCCATGGTGGCCAGCAGAGAGAGCTCGAGCACCACACACCCGGAGGGGCGGGTTTCTCTGCCTGGACAGTGAGGGCCAGCAGAGGGCGCACCATCAGCTTTTCTGACCCAGGACACCTCAGAGCAGGAAGGGTCGCTGTTGCTCCCAGAGGACACAGGCCCTCTGCCGCTGCCTCAGGACAGAGAGTAGAGCTGCCTTTCCAGCGCGTTCTGCCGCCCACCCCAGGGGAGACCTGGGGAGCTTTGCAGCAACTTGGCATCTCCTGAGTCACCGGGGAGAAGCTGCCTTGCTGTGCTGAGTGCTGAGGAGGGGACGCTGGGTGGCTTCCCTGGGCAAGCTGGTTGCTGGGGCAGCTCCCGTGTTTCATTCCTCCCCTTCCCAGACAGTATTTGAAGAAGACATATTTTACTGAAGGACTCATGGATTGCGGGGTCCCACGACATCATCTCATAGATGCAGTCGATGGTTTGTTCCGGATTCAGGCTCGTTTCCGGGAAGTAAACCTGACAGACATTCAGAGGAACGGGAGCTGCATTCAGTTAGGACGTGAATACATGAAATGCTCCTCTCAGGACCTTCTAGAAGAATGCGCTGGGACCCAGTTTCTGCGTCCTGCTGGAACCAGAGACGGAGGTAAGGGCACAAACTGTCCCCCACATCATACGTGGTGTTTTAAAAACTTCATGGTTATTTTTCCAACCTAGTGAAGTGATTGAAAACTACAGAAAACCTGGTAGGTAGGTGTCATTAACCTTATGGTACATTTTAATTTAAATTCCAGTGAGTGAAGACACAGTGTAATATTAGTTTCAGGTGTCCAATATAGAGTAACGCTTGCACGCGTCACCTGGTGCTCATCCCAGGTGCATTCTTAATCCCCAGCAGCTGTTTCACCCATTCCCCACCTCGCTGTGGAAGCCCTCAGTTTGTTTCCCAGTGAAGAGTCTGTTTGTCACTGGGTCCTTCCCCCCCCCTTTGTTTTGTTTCATTTCCACGTGTTAGTGACATCATCTGGTATTTGTCTTTCTCTGACAGGCTTATTTCACCCAGTATAACGTTCTCTCGCTCCATCCACCTCGTGGCCAATGACAAGATTTCCTGTTTTTACGGCTCAATAATATTACATTCCATACACTACATCTCAACGTATTCATCAGTTGATGGATGCTCGGGCAGTTTCCGTAATTTGGCTCTTGTAGAAAATGCTGCTGTAAACATCAGGGTGCGTGTATCCCTTTGAAGGATTATTTTTGTATTCTTTGTGGAAATACCTCGTAGTGAAATTGCTGGATCGTAAGGCGGTTCCATTTCCATTTTTTTTTTTTTTTGATGAATCTCCGTGATGTTTTCCAGTGTGGCTCCACCTGTTTGCATTCCAACCAACAGTGCAAGAGGGTTTCTCTGTCCTCACATCCTTGACAACACCTGCTGTTTCAACATTCATTGATTTTAGTCCTTCTGAAAGATGTGATGTGTTATCTCGTTGTACTTTTGAGTTGTATTTTCCTGAAGATCAGTATTGTTGAGCATCTTTTCACATGGCTTTGGCCATGTGTATGTCTTCCTTGGGAAAATGTCCGTTCGTGTCTTCTGCCCATTTTTAACCAGATTTCTCCTTTTTTGGGTGCTGTATGACTTTATTTGTTTTGGACACTAACCCTTAATCAGGTGTCGTTTGCAAATAGTATTCTGTAGGTGTTGTTGATTATTTCCTTGGTGACAGAAGCTTTTTACTTTTACGAAGTCCCATTATTTTTGCTTGTGTTTCCCTCAACTCAGGAGATATATCTACAAAGACGTTTGTACAGCCAGTGTCAAATAAGATACTGCCTGTGTTAATTATCCTCTGGGATTTTTATGGTTTCAGGTTTCACACATAGGTCTTTATCCGTGTTGGATTTACTTTTGTGTATGTTGTAAGAAGGTGGTCCGTTGTTGGTCTTGTTTTGTTTTGCAGGTTGCTGTCTAGTTTTTCCAAAACCATATGTTGAGGAGATTTTTTTTAAGTGTATGTATGTATTTCTGAGAGACAGAGAGAATGCAGAAGAGGGGCAGAGAGAAATGGGGACTGAGAATCCCACACATGCGCCGCACTGACCTGAGATCATGACCTGAGCTGAACCCACAATCACACGCTTTGCAGCCACCCACGTGTCCCCAGACTATCTTTTCTTTTCCATTGGATATGCTTTCCTGCTGTGTTGAGAATTAATTGACCATATAGGTGTGAGTTCATTTCTGCGTTTCCGTTCTATTGATCTCTGCGTTTGTGTGTAGTTGTTGTTGTCGTTGTTGATGTTGTTTTTGGCCAGGACCATACTGTTCTGTTCAGTACAGCTTTTGAATATAACCTGAAGTCTGGAATTGTGATGCCTCCAGCTTTCGTTTTCTTCTTCAATTTTGTTTTTGCTGTTTGGGGTCTTTGTCGTTCCATACAAATCTTGGGATTATTTGTTGTCGTCCTGTGACAAATGGTTTTGTTAGTGTGATAGGGATTTCATCACATATGCAGATTGTTTTGAGGAGTGTAGACGTTTTAACAGTATTTTCTGCTTCCCATCCGTGAGGGTGAAATCTATTTCCTTTTCTTTGTGTCCTCTTCCATTTCTTTCCTCAGTGTTTCACAGCCTTTAGAGTACAGGTCTTTCACCTCTTTGGTTAGGTTCATTCTAGGTACCTTGGGGTATTTGGTGCAACTGTCAACGGGATGGATCCCTTACTTTCTCTTTCTGTTAATTCATTACTCGTCTACGGAAATGCAATAGATTTATGTACATTGATTTCTGTATATTGTGATTTGTCGAATTCGTATATCGATCCTAGCAATTTTCATTGGAGTCTTTCATGTTGTTTATAGAGAGCATCATGTCAGTTCCAAACAGCGAAAGTTCTTCTTCCTTGCCAATTTGGATGCCTCCTTTCTTTTTTTGACTGATTGCTGTGGCTAGGACTTCCTGTACTATGTGGAATAATAGTGGTGAGAGGGGTCATCCCTGTCTTGTCCCTGACCTTGGAGGAAACACTTTCAATGTTTCCCCATTGAGGGTGAGATGAGTTGTGGGTTTTTCCTAGATGACCTTTATTATTTGCAGGTAGGTTGAGTCTCAATGTACTTTGCTGAGGGTTTTTATCATGAATGGATGTGACATTTTGTCAGATGGTTGTCCTGCATCTGTTGAAAGCATCATATTGTTCTTATCCTTTCTTCCATTACTGTGGTGCATCATGTTGATTGATCTGTGAATGTGGAACCACCCTTGCAGCCCGGGAATATATCCCACTTGATTATGGTAAATGATTCTATTCATGTATTGTTGACTTTAATTTGAAGGTATTTTAATGAGAATTTGTGCATACATACTCATCAGGCTGTTGGTCTGCAGTTTTATTTAAAAATTTTTAACATATTTTTAAATGTTTATTTCCTTCCTTAGATAGAGTACATAAAAGTGAGGGAGGGGCAGAGAGACAGGGAGAGAGAGAATCCTGGCCATGCCCCTCACTGTCAATGCACGGTCCAATGTGGGACTCGAACCCACGCACCACAAGATAATGTCCTAATCCAAAATTAAGAGTTGGATGGTAAACCGACCGAGCCACACCTGCGCCCCGGCAGTTTTTGGTTTTGGTGGAGGCTTTATCTGGTGTTGGTATCAGGGTAATGATGGCCTCATAAGATGAATTTGTAAGTTTTCCTTCTTTTTTACTTTTTGTAATAATTCGAGGAGAATACATATTACCTCTTCCTCAAATGGATGGTAGAATTCATCAGGGAAGCCCTCTGGCCCTGAACTCTTGTGTTGGGGGAGATTTTTTTTTTTTTTCTTACTGATTTGATTTCTTTTTCTTTTCAGATTTTATGTATCTTCCTGTTTCAGTTTTGGTAGTTTTTGTGTTTCTAGGAATTTGTCCATTTTTCTCAGAGTGTCCAATTTGTTGCATATAGTTTTTCATAATATTATCTTCTAACTGTATTTTTGTAGTGTTGACTGCTGTTTCTCCTTTCTTATTTGTGATTTTCTTTATTTGAGTCCTTTCTCTCTTCTTTGTGAGAACTCTGCCTAGGAGGGTTTCATGTTGATTACTGTTTTCAAGGAACCAGCCCCTGGTTTCATTGATTTGGTCTAGTGTCTTTTTGGTTTCTATATCCCTTATTTCTGCCTTAATCTCTATTATTTCCAACCACACTCAGATATCGCCTCGCGCCAGTCAGAGTGGCCAAAATGAACAAATCAGGAGACTATAAATGCTGGTGAGGATGTGGAGAAACGGGAACCCTCTTGCACTGTTGGTGGGAATGCAAACTGGTGCAGCCACTCTGGAAAACAGGGTGGAGGTTCCTCAAAAAATTAAAAATAGACCTACCTTGTGACCCAGCAATAGCACTGCTAGGAATTTATCCAAGGGATACAGGAGTACTGATGCATAGGGGCACTTGTACCCAATGTTTATAGCAGCACTCTCAACAATAGCCAAATTATGGAAAGAGCCTAAATGTCCATCAACTGATGAATGGATAAAGAAACTGTGGTTTATATACACAATGGAGCACTACGTGGCAATGAGAAATTGCAGTCTGGCCCTTTGTAACAACATGGATGGAACTGGAGAGTGTTATACTAAGTGAAATAAGCCATACAGAGAAAGACAGATACCATATGGTTTCACTCTTATGTGGATCCTGAGAAACTTAACAGAAACCCATGGGGGAAGGGAAGGAAAAACAAGAAAGAAAAGAGGTTAGAGTGGGAGAGAGAGTCAAAGCATAAGAGACTCTTAAAAACGGAGAACAAACTGAGGGTTGATGGGGGGTGGGAGGGAGGGAAGGGTAGGTGATGGGTATTGAGGAGGGCACCTTTTGGGATGAGCAGTGGCTATTGTATGGAAACCAACTTGACAATAAACTTCATATATTTGAAAAAAAAAAAAAAACTAACCTCCAGAAAGCACTATAAAGTATTACCTCTGAGTTTCTAAAACTAAAGGAATGATTAAAAAAAAGAAGAAAGTAAAAAAAAACTCTATGATTTCCTTCCTCCTGCTGTTCCTCATTCCTTTAGTTGTAAGTTAGGAGGGTTTGAGATTTTCCTGCTCTTTAAGGTAGGCTTGTATTGCTATATACTTCCATCTCAGATTGCTTTTGCCGCATTCCAAAGGTTTTTACCAGTGTATTTTCATTTTCATTTGTTTCAGTGTATTTTCTCATTGGTTTCCTGTTTGACCCATTCATTTCGTAGCATGTTATTTAACCTCCCTTTATTTGTGGCCTTTCCCCCTGTGTGTGTGTGTGTGTGTGTGTGTGTGTGTGTGGTTAACTTCAAGTTTCCTAGCTTTGTGGTCAGAAAAGATGCTTGGTCTGAGCTTTGTCTTTGGGTACCTGTTGAGGTCTGATTTGTGACGTAGAATGTGATCATTTCTGGAGAATGCCCCATGGGCGCTTGAAAAGAATACGTACTCTGCCATTTTAGTATGGAGTGTTCTGAATACATCTGTTAAACGCATCTGGTCCAGTGTGTCATTCAAAGCCATTGTTTCCTTGTTGATTTTCTGTTTACAGGTTCTGTCCATTGATGTGACTGATGTGTTAAAGTCCTCTATTATCGTTGTATTCTTATCAATTCCTTTATGGTTTT